TTATACCCAGGCGGCCCGGCGCTCAGTAATGTTTAACTCGGGACCGAAACTTGGGAGCGCGGAGTGACTGCGCGCCGGGAGCCGCGGGGCTGCACGCGCGTCTCGGCGGCTCGCCTGACTTGTGCCTGCGCCCCCGCTCTGAAAGCTCAGTTCCGAGGAGAGGCCGACCATGAAGGTGAGTGAGAAGCGCGCCTCTCCCCCTCACCCCACCTTCCCGTCCCACGGGCGAGTGCCTCTTCACCAAACTCTCCCCAGATTTCTCCCCAAACTCACGGAATGAAACCAAGGGCTCTCGTTACGCGGAAGCTCCGGGGCCACCCTCTGACAGATGAAGGGACGCCCGAGGGCTGTCCCCTCGCTCTCCGACCCTCGGGGTTTCTGCTAGAACCCAGGCGCCGAGCCTTGGAGGACCCGGGGAGTCACCCGCAAAATGAAACCCGAACCCTCACTTGGCTTCTGACATGCAGGCGTAGAGAAGCAAACACTAAAGTGCCAGAGGCCAAAAGTTCAAGGGAAACCGCTCTTGCAGCCTCCGACTGGCGCGCTGCAAACCCTCCCAGCCCAGTGTGCCCCTCTTCCAACGCGCGCCGATCCGCAGAGCTCGCTGCCTCGCCTGCAGCCCAGGCCCCGACCCTCTTACCCGAGACTCGGGGGCCAAATGTCTGGCTCTAACCGGACGTGATCTGACCGGCTTGCAGACACCGTGGAAGGTGCTCCTGGGACTGCTGGGGATAGCTGCGCTCGTCACCGTCATCACCGTGCCCGTGGTTCTGCTCAACAAAGGCAGTAAGTTTGAAACATTTGAAAAAAATGAGACAGATGAAGACCAGGATCAGGTTCTATTTACCACACCGAGGAGAACTAGGAATTTTGCTGGAGACTGGGTGGGACCAGTGTATCAGGCCAGGTCGCAGCGGGGCTTCGCTGGCGTGGGTGCTGATTCTGGTGTGGCCGCTAGATTCGATTATGGGTCTTCAGGGTTTAGGTTGCGCGAGTCTTGCACCCGCCACGTTTTACGTATGGCAGATACATACTTCCTGAAAATAAAGAGAAGTCTTAAGATTTCTTTTTAATAAATCTAAATTTACTACTTTTTGAATTTAAATTTAAAAAAAAAAAGCTTTCTTGGTTGTGATCTTCAAAGGAAAAGAGTCAGTGTTGAAAGATCCCAAACAATAATAAGAATGTTATAAAGGGAGGGGAAAAATAAGTAATATATAAAACTATATTATAAAATGTTTATAAATATTATAAAAATGTTTTAATATTTTTAAATACATATATAAAAATAAGCACCCAAACACAGTTTTGAGAGAAGATAACGGACGGAGAACCCAGGTTGTTTTCCCTCAGGAATGATGGAAATCCATCAGTTGGAGAGTTGGGATGCAGGAAATTAACTGTTTGAACCACTTATAAAAATAAGTATTTCTGAGTTAAATCATAAAGCTGGTGTCCATGGTAATATTCAGAGGCCGTGAGAGCAGTGATGTTTAGTGGATTTTTTCATTTAAAGCCATCTTGGTTTCTTTTAACTTGTCTCACTGTTCCAGTTTAGTCCTTGCCCTGAATAGCAAACGTTTGTATAATGGAATACACACTACTGGATGCAAACAAATGAGAATAACTAGTTTGTCTCCTCTGGCCCCACTTGCCTTTGAAATAGTTACTTTCATTTCTGTATTATGCAGCCTAGTCACTGAAGCGATCTCTCTGATGGCCTAGTCAACCAGGAAATGTGTAAACAGTGCTTAAATACTGAGGAGTCTTATCCAGATTTCAAGATGACAGTTCAGAATTAGTTTGTAGAACTATCAAAAGCTATGTTTGGCTTTGGCCGGCAATTGCAGGGCCAGGGCAAAGATGCCAAAGGTTAAATAACCGAGCGTATTGACCTATTGATAATGACTTTTGGTTACTGAAGAAAGCAATGGTTACCATCATTGTAGACTATTCAATGGCAGGCATCTGTCCACTTACTTCTGACTCTTTGTTGTGAACTGTTGAAAGATAACTGTTTGTATAAAGTGGTATTTTGTATATTTAAATAACCACACACACACAAAGCCTTCTTGTGGGAAAAGAAAGGGGTTACCCATACAATCAGGAAATATTCACATGGCCTGCATTATGTTTCAGGAACTATGCTAGTTGCTGCAAATCCAAAGGTTGAATTTTTATAAATATAAAGATCCCTGACCTTAGGAAGTTTATAGTCTAGTGGGAAACAGATTTGCAAACAAAGTAACCTGGAGAGCCGTTCATCTCTAAAGTATTGCTGAGACAATCATCACTGGAAGGACGGGTATCAGAATTCCCCTTCGGGAAAGTTGGAAGGAATCCTAAACTTTGATAAGCACTTAAGCTGGCAGTGAAATGGCCTAGGGACCTGGGTCCTGGGGCTACATTCCATGGGGTTTGGTTAAGTTAACTACAAGGATTTTGTCTTGCTGGGTGGGGCATACAAACTGGGGAGGGGCTGTCTTACCATTTTCCTTAAACCATCCATACCTCATCTCTTTGCCAAATGAAAATTGAATAAAGATTTCAAGAACGTTCTCTAGAAGGGGACTTCCAGAGATGTTCACGTGTCTCCTATTATTAGGATTCAATACAGTAACTTCAGAGAAGCTTGAGCCAACTTCCCTGAGTGTTTGAAGGATCACTTCTGGGAAAAACTGGGAAGACTTCTCACAGGAGTATTCTTCTGTGAGGAGGCCTGAATAGTTAATATCAGTTCCTGGAGATAAGGTTTTCCAGAAAATATGAATGGCTTGTGAGTCATCCATGAGACACTAGATCACATTCTCTATCTGGGATCATTGGAGGACTCCTAGCAAGAGAGGAGGGTGGGCAGCCAGACCTTCACCTGTAGACGATGGAGAGTTCTAGCATGCCTGAACTGGTGGACATGACAGTGGGAAGGGAGGTTGAAGTGGGGCAGGGCTGGCTGGAAAGCAAGGGAAGTGTCCCAGGAGACTGATGGTGCAGAACAGAATTTGATGGCTTAGAGCCAATCAGAAATTTGAGTGATTAGACTTTCGTAATTGGAAACAGGAAGTCAGGGGGTAGAGTGGTTAACAATGCCTTTTGGGGTACTGGGTGGAGACGTGGTTTCATTGTGTGCTTTCTTTACACTTACACACTCAAGTTAATTCTCCTCTCATATTTCTTAATTGGCATGTATGTATATTTGAAAGAAAGGGGACATTATCTTGTTTCAACTCCTGCCTTGTCTTAAGGGGCAGAGATGATAGCTCAGGAATGCAGCATTTTTACTAGATCAGCAATACGTTCCTGGGCTGTGCTGCAGTGAGGGGCAGTGTTTTTACAAAGGATCCAGAGTCCTCGCCCAAGAAGTGTCCTCCCTATTGTCAAATTAGGTTTTAAAGTCAAACAAAACCAGTAGGAAAAGAGGAAAGGAGGTGAGAGAGAGGAAATATAAATGTAAAGGAGAGGAAGGAAAAAAGAAAGAAAAGAAAAAAGGAAAGAGGAAAGATTTTGATAGAACAACAGAACCAAGTCCTACATTGTGTGGAAAGCAAAGAAATAAACAAACAAGAAAAGAAAGGAAGAAGAAATGAGCAACCCTAGTTCATCCCCTGAGAGGTTGGTTTAAAAGGTTAAGCGTTTCCATACAAAAAGCTGACCCAAGCGGAACTGGACACACCACAAGCCCAGAGAAAGGGAGAAAGGGAGGTGTAAGCTTAATATAATTGTTGTATTATTTTAGAATAAAAACTCCTTGCGGTCAGAAATTATGCATTTCACCAAGCAAAACTAAAAGTTCACCTCCTTCTGTATATATATAATAAAGGATTGCATTTTGTTTTAAAATCCCTCAACTACCCTATTCAAGAAGGATATTGCATATTTAAACATTCAGTTTCTCAGAGAATCAGCAGCAAAACAGATAAAAAATACTTCACTTATAATGGAATTGTAGAAATCTTCACGGCGTAGAGGCAGTAAACCCTTCTCACTCAGTATTTGTGATCCCTTTCATTCCTTTTTTACATTGTATTTTAGGCTCAGTTTTTAAAATATTCGTCATATGATTTTATTATTGGGTTTTGTTATGGGATAAAGACATCCCAATTCTTCTTTTGTTCTCTTCCCTGCTATAGCAGTAGATTTCCTCAATATCCTCTTTCAGTGCATAGGAAATTTGACTGCTCAGCCATCCACCAGTAAGAAAAGAAAACCCAAATCTGAAGGAGGAGACAGGGATAATCAGAGAAAGGAAAGATAACATCTATGAAGTTTGCCTGAGGAAGTCCAGGATCTATTCCAGGTTTAAAAGCATAGAAATGAGCCTGAATGAGAGCTTTGTATATTTCGCAGGACAGGTTCTAAACAGAGAGCCCCGTGAAAGCTCAAGTTGACTCCAGCTCGCTCAGTTAACTGCTATCAACCTTTGTCCAGTGCTCCTGAGGTCAGTGGGTTGGTCTTTTTCAGGCCAGCTATTTTGGCTTTTGGTTCCCTAGCCGTAGCATGTGCCTTCAGTTTCTCTACCTGACATATCTTGTCTCTCATCTTAAAAGGGATCAGAGAGAAGAAGGCAAGACTGTTTACCCAATTGATGGTTGGAGAAAAGTGATATAAAGAGACTGACTATAGCTGGATACTTTAAATTTTACGACTTAACAAAGTGCTGAGGTCTGCGGGGAATGTGACCGTAAATACATGCAGGACCACCTTCCTCACGGAAGAGAAGGTACAAGGATGTAATAGTAACCAGCGTGGAATCGCTCTCGGGTATTGGCTGAGGGCTTTCAATACACTTCGCAACTGCTCCTTACAACAACCCTTTGAGAGAGGTCATTATCTCCATTTTTGCAGAAGACTTATAGAAGCTTTAAAGGGTGCTTCACCTACTTTTTACTGCATGATGAATTGCCCCCAAACTTAAAACCTACTGCAAAGAAGTTAAGGAACTTGCTCAGTGTTCCACAGGGCTGGGATTCACACTCAGGCAGCGTGACTTTTAAACTCTATTCTGCCAGCTTGTTATCAGGTATAAAGTGAACGTGGCCATATTAGCGTAAATGTTGCAACTTCCCATTTGTCTGCCTGTGTTCTCATTTCATGACTGCTAATCCCTGGACGCTGAGTGTCCTGGGGGAAAGTGCCCACTGCCAGTGCCTCTGTTCCTACATAAAGCTGTGGAGGGACAATGACTTCCAGCCCAGGGCTGACGTCCCACTCTTTCGACAGGTCTTACTAAGTGTTTTCAGCGGTAGTGGTAGGTCCAGATTTACTACTTGCACTAAGTTATGCGTGTTTTATTTCTCATGCATGCTGTGCTGTTTCACTTGATCTTCATAAAACAATCCACGTCAAAGCAGGTATTTGTTTCTTGACTTGTTACACTGAAGAAACGGAGGCATAGAAGTTTAGGGCTTTGTGAGAAAGTACCCGAACTTGGGAGCCCAAATCTTCTGACTCCAAGCCTTCCCTGAGTCTGCTGATTTCTATGAATAACTGTTTTAAAGAAATGCTTTGGTCAGAGCTTTGGTAACTTAATGATTAATCATTGCTTTATGGCTTGGTGCTAACCCTTTCATTGTTGTCAATCAGTTATCTTATAACTCTTCTTACCTTTAGTCTTCGTGCCCTCCAAAAGAGGGTGTGTCTGTCAATCTGACAGCAAACTGAAACCTCAAAATTAGAGCTTCTGAGTTGGCTGTTCTATTGTTGTTAAGAACTGTACTTTTAGTTTTGTATTGTACTTCAAAATTATAACTTCCTAGGAAGTTTTTTGAAACTTAATGATAAAACCTTTG